TGACCGTTGCTATCCCGCCAAGCTGGCAACGCAGCTGCAAGTGGAGGCGTACCTGACGCTGTCGCACAACAACCTCTCCAGGAGCATCCCGGCGGAGTTCGCCGCTGTCAACTTCGCGCGCATCGACCTGTTGCGGAACCAGCCGACCGGCGACGCGTCGCCGCTGTTCGGGCGAGGGAAGCCGGCGCAGGCCATCGACGTGTCGCGCAACGCGTTGGAGTTCGAGCTGACCGGCGTGGAGCTGCCAGAGCAGGTGACCACCGTGGTCCGTGGACGTGAGTCACAACATGATCTACGGCGGCATCCCGACGCAGGCGGCGAAGCTGAGCAGGCTGCAAGTGTTCAACGTCCTGGACGACCTCGACGCCGTGCTGCGACTGGGCGGGCATCCAGTGCGACGCCACCACGGGCCGCTTAGTGGACCTCGCCGTCAACCAGGACAACAACCTCAGCGCCACCGTGCCGCTCGCCGTCGCCAGCCTCACCCACCTCCACTCCCTCCGTGGCTCCTGTTGGAAATAAACACGTCATGGTGTATTCCTGGCGTGGTTGAGTCAGTGTGTGTGTGTCGTGCTGCTGCATGTGTGCGTCGTGTGCGTTCTGTTAGTTTGGTTGAGTCGTGATCACGAGTGCATGGCTGCTGCATGGTTGTTTGCATGGCCGTTGCAGTGTTGATCGAGTCGTGGGTGTGCATGGTGTGCGTGGCGTCGGTTCTTGCGGAGGAAGCCGCGTCGTCCGGGCGAGCGTGTGGCTCACGGCGACGTCGAGCGGGTTCTGCGGAACGTGGCGCAATGGCCGGCATGGAGGCTAGCTCCCGGTGTGTCACCGGTCTATAAGAGGCCCCTGTACTCCTTCGTTGTTTCTTTGCAAGGTTCAGTGAGTAATAAAGCCAAGATACAGGAGCGATCGGCTCCGCGGCGTTCGTCGCTGTAAAATCCATTGTTCATCGTCTCCCTCACCAGCGTTTGTGTTCGTGAGTGTGAGAGTGTTCCTGGGCTGAGCCAACAGCTCCGCCTATACCACCTCCCGCACCTCTCCGGCCCCCCATCCCGCCGAAGCTCGCCACCCACTCCAACCTCTTCCAGCTCACCATCTCCTGGACCGCCGTCTTCGGCCCAGTCATCTCCTTCCTCGCCGCTCGCTATCCTCGACCTCTCCTTCAACTCACTCTCCGGCACCATCCCGCCATCGCTCCGCCCCAGCCGTCGGCCGGCTTGCCAAGAGAAGAGGGAGAGAGAGAGAGAGGAAGGGAGAGAATTAGGGAAAGAGAGAGGAGGCCGACGTGGCCACATGCACATGTGGGTCCCACGCTGACTCAGTCGCTACGTAAGATAAAACTAGGGTCAAAATCATCGAAGGACCTGTTGTGACTAGTTTTATAAGTTGAGAGACACCGGATATCTGGTTTTGTGGTTGAGGGACGATTTTGTAACTCGATGACAAGTTGAGGGACCTTCGGTGTACTTTTTCCTTTTAATTAAAAAGGCCTATAAAAATACTCATCTCCAGCACAAATCCTATATACTTATATACTTCATCCCCACTAAGTGTAGTTAATGCTATTTCTCTCTTCTCTCATTAAGCCACATCACCCAAATTATTTCTAGCCTTTGGATGATAGATCTATGGTCTAAATTGTCTCTTCTTTCTTCTCTCATAAAAACATGCAATCTTAATTATTTTTAGGCTCAAAATTGTACCAAATTATTTTAGTTTTGATAATAAAATTGTATTTTATTTGTACACATCATGTAACTTAATTTTCCGCAGCAACGCGGTGGAGTATTCATCTAGTAACCCATGCTTTCCACGCCACGTACAGAACCTCCAGCAAAAAGCAGAAATAGTATGATTTGAGAACCAAGAAAGAAAGGGAAGAAAAAAGGCAGTGAGATTGATCGGGAAAACGGAGAGCACCAAGTTACCACGGGGAGAAAAACTCCATGGATGAGTGCTTCAAGATGAAACAGAAGAGAAGGTGAAAAGCTGGTTGCTCCTGTAGCTATGTAACCTATGTCTGTGAGAAATGGGCTACACATTAACACATATTACAAGATCAGAGAAAGTTTAGTGCCTAAAATTGTGTACTACATGTTGACAAAAAAAATGATATTTACTTTCATTGCTAACAGAGCAAAATAAAACAAAACTAACTCATCATTGCATGATGTATAGATTCCTTATGGATTATAGCTACTTAATAGCTGACAAAATAAAGTACAGTTAGAAGCAGAACAGTATATATGACAGAACAGCTTCTCATTAAGTTAACCATGCTACTATTCATACCAATAGTAAAAGTAGAGAACTTGAGATTTGGTGGGAATATATTTCATATCTACAACTATCTTTAGAAATTTTTTCATGAATTTACAAATACTTTAGGTATAATTTTCACAAGTTTCCAACACTTAACTCATTTTCACCGGATGTGTCCTCAACAATGAAATGCTGTCATCATAGTTGGAGTCACTGTGATGATTCCTATTGTGAGAGGGCGCTTGGTGTCAGTCGCGGGAGTGAGCCGACTAATCTGGATGTCGCCTTTCGGCTTTCGCTGTTGAGAACATGCAAATTAGATCCAATATGCCCTCTACTGCGTTCGGGGACCCAATAATCTCTGGAATGAAGAGGTGGGAGATGGGTTCCGACTGGTGTTTCTACGGTAGATTCATCAGGCCAACGGCTGCCTCCAGCATCCATGGGCACAGTGGTGGCGATCATGGCCTTGACTTTATTCATGATTGGTGTCACATTGGTTGGAGCCTTGTCGATGATGGTGTCGAACAGGGTAATTGCCGTGACCGCGTTCTGTTGAGGCGTGACGAAGACGTTGGTGTTGTCGACTCGGGTCTAGATAATTGCATTGTGAGCGGCTCATCAGACATGAGCTAGATTTCGCCTCCTGCGTTCTTCTTCTTCCCTGTGTTTGCGCTCCTCTTCAAGCCTTATGCGTTCTTCCTCTGCTTCGCTGGCTAGCCATGCTTGAGCTTCCTCGTCGACTGTATCTGCCATGAATACACCAAAAAGAAGTGGGGGTATAGTCGTCATTGAACTCCGAACTTCCCATGCTTTTAGTGGTGTGATCGTCGTAGTCCTCAGAGGAGCTAAGAAAGTCGACAATCTCCATATTTGAACAGGATCAAAGTGGTTGGAGCATGACGAACACCTCACTGAAGCCCAATCCGGGTAAAGCCAAAGCTTGTTCAGATCGGGACCTCCGGGGGGAAATGGATCTGGAACCGAACGTATCGGCAAGGAGCAAAGGAACTCGCATGGCGATCTAAGAATGCGTGGTGGCTCTGGTGGAGAGTCCACAAAGGCATGCTGATGTAGATGATTCCCCTGAGTAGTTCGAGGCCAACCCGGAGAAGAAAACCTTGGAGTAGATCTCGACGGTGTTTGGCAAACCAAACGACACCGAGTGGTCACGATCCCTCTCTGACTGGTTCGAATCCGAATCGAGAAGAGAGATGTTGGCGAATTCGTCGGTGATGAAGTCGAAGTTATTGAAGCGTTAGACCAGCCCTAGAGGGAAGGCAAAGTCGTCGACTCCTAAAGTTGATCCCATCGCACTTATCGGCAAAAAAATTCAACGCAACCCCTACCTGGCGCACCAACTGCTGATCCAAGAAATCGGCAATGAGAAAAGGGGTAGCGCACGAGAGCTAAAGTAGATGGGTTGTGGGACAAAGATATAGACAGCTTCAGGCCCTCTCAACAAGAGCTAATACCCTACTTCTATTTGGGGATTGGAATCCACCAGGCATTGTATTGATTTAGCGATCTTGGTGTTGTTGTGCCCTCGGAGGGCCTCCTGCCTGCCTTATATAGGTTGGGGGTAGGATTACAAACATTGAAACCTAGCCGGATACGGTATCGATTTCTTAAATCTACTTTACAATATTACCGAATCTGGACTTTGAGCCGTTCCTTAATACACAAGGCAACATAATACTTAAACCATGGTCTGTAACATATTCCATAGATATAACCCATCTGCTCGGATAAGCTAGCCGTGTGGGTATATGATACCCATAATCTTCACACCAAGCCATCAAATCTGGATCGCCTTGCGCGACCTCCATCCTTGACGCCGGCGGTGAGCCGGTGAGGCATGAGAAAGTGACCTCCAAGAGCACCCGTAGCCGTCACCTCACCACCCCAAAAGCCATCGCCGCCAGCGCTCTATATATCATGCTGATCTCCCGCGCTAGATCTAGCCACCGTATGCTCATTCTTAGCATTTGTACCTAGTCCACTTGCCGACCTGGCTTGGCTTTCTTATACTGAAGTTAAGGTAAATTATAACATATGTTGCCTACTTATTGAATTTTGTTCCACTACTAGCTATTTCCATTGGTGTAATAAATAAGAGTACATACTATATGGAGGGCTTAAAATTATCCATTTATGTGATTCTGTCCGAAACCAAGAGCGTGCGCTTAATTCGTAAATTTCCCATGTGATTGTATTGTCAATCGACGATCCTCATATAGTATGCACCCATTTTAGCTACTTCCTCCGTTTTATTCTAGCATTTCCCACATTCATATTGATATTAATGAATCTAGACTAGATTCATTAATATCAATATGAATGTGAAAAATGCTATAATGACTTACATTGTGAAACAGAGGGAGTAAGACGGCGGTAGGAGTGCCATAATAGGAGAGTATTGCCCAAATACCCAAAACTTGTACACAGAACGGTAGCTGCACTTGTATAACAGCTGGCTGCAGATCAGCCAAGAACGCCATGAACTTAATTTTGTGTTTTACTAGTTGTAAGACTTGTATTCCTGTATCCTCCACCTCTTATTTAATGATTTTCATATCTTTAACAATATAGCATTAACACAGTTGTCTATGTTGTGTAGTTTCACATCACATCGTAGCTAGATTAATCATGCATGGTGATGTACGTTTTCGTGTACTTATTGTGAAACACATCGTTATGACTTATGAAAGGATCGGCAGAGCCCAGAAGTTATATTTTCATTATAAAAAAAATAGCACTTATTAATCAATATATTCCTGTTACATATGGTATGCAGTATTAATTTTTCTGCTCAAAACAAGTACCTCTATTGGCCGGTACAAATTACAATAATTTAACAGAAGGTGCTGCATACATATATCTTAAATTTCTCTTGGCTGCAAAACTGCTAAGAACTCCTGCAGCGACGAAGGTTTCTTATATAATTTTCTAACTAATGATAATAATCTTGAACCAGGTCGTCGTTACCGAGACCTTTTGGTTCCTAAATATAAATAGATTACTAATTAATCAAATTCCTCATGTAGAAGATATTGAGAGTCACATTGAAATCAACTAACTGGGAAGACGCCTCGGAAAATTCAGGTTTTCTGAACTGTTTTGGTGATTAATTTAGAAATGGTTTCCTGTACGTTCATGCTGGCTGGGAACAGAATGTATTTGAGGTGGGGCACCAATAGTAGGGTCATAGTCCAGGGAAATCAACTGGCGGAACAGATTTCTGTAACCACCTGAAAAAATAAATTAAAATTACATTATAAAAAATTAACTTTGTTGTTTAGGACATACTATATATGTGCGTAAAAACATCAAAATTCTCTTATATAACCTTACCACTCTGAGAAAAAGATGGTCTCTTGGTAAGTTGGTGGTAGCTGCCTACAAGGTTCTTGTAGCTCACTGCAAATAATTTGGTTTTCAATATCCTGGTGAGGTTAGTTAGCTTAAGAAAGAAAAAAATAAAAATCACAATAATATCATAGCAATAAAAAGTAATACACATCACATACACATAATCACACATGGATGTACAATAACACTCAAAGCAGATCTAGAAAAAGAAAATTGGGGGTTCTAAATATTCTTGGAGAAGCTTTAACAACCCCCAAGCCCTCATCCATGTCGAATAAAATAAGGGGCTCCAAGGTACAGGATCGACCCCCTAGAACTCATATTGGATTTGCTCCTAATAACACCCGGGAGAAAGTGAAAAGATTTGTATAAAAAGAGAAAGAGAGAATTTCTGAAGGAATTTACTGAAGTAATTAACGCGAAATACCACACTTCAAAAATCTCAAAAAAATGATGAAATAAATAGAAGAGACCAGTGCAAGAGAAAAAGTAACATAAGTACCAGCTTGAAAGGCCCCTTGACGTATAGCTAGTGATGGCGAGGTAAGCAGAGATGCCACACAGAAGAAGAAAAGAACAAGATGGGAGAAATTGCTCTTCATTTTCCTAGCAAGACGAAGAGTCTCTCTCTCTCTCTCTCTCTCTCTTTCTTGATTTTGCTTGTAGCTAATCACCGAAGATGCACGTGTTGTGTGATGAACAGAGCCACAACTTGACCTCTATTTATGCACGAGGCAATGCTGTCTTCTTAGGAATGCATTGTATTGTGCATTTAATTACAAAATCATCCGTGATTTTCCTTAATTAATAAGATGCCTAACCTTGCTTGATATGGTTTGCTGTATCGATCGTGTTGGCACGTGATGATTATAAATTTGCTGGAGGTTGCGCATTTCCGCAGCCATCTTAATTGATTACCATTGTTGGAAGAAAGCCCAATTGTTGTAACTACTCCAGAGGCTGGAGTGAACCGTGTGACAAAAAAATACCAGAGAGCGCCAGCGGCCCCCTCTAACAATAATATATTCACTTTTATATACAAATTTACTTTTAATCAGACACGTGCATCTAAACCATGCGTCTAACCGACGGCTAAAACAAGCTGAGCAGTTCAGTAAATTCACATCTTAAAAAAACAACCGACCATTGGGATGATGGACTAACCAACGGCACGAGAGTCCTGGTAAGAACGGGTGGTAGGATCACCAGGATTCTTGGGCTTTCTCAAGCATTATATAGAATTAAAATGCTCACTATCTCGCCATCTTAGGTGACGGGGCCTTGAGTAATCTGATATTCCTCTTTTAAGCCTATCTAAGACCTCGAAGGTTGACTCTTCGAAGGTCCCCTTTAGCCCTCCGAAGCCTCCCCATCCCTCAATCGGGGTGAACATTTGTTAAAATGGTTCAGGTTTCTCGGTTATCTATAATTTTGGTTTCTTATTAATATATAGCAATCATAGTGTTCGATAAGAAATAAAACCAAAATAAGCCGAAGCACGTCGGTTCGGTCTCTCGGTTTCCTGGCGAAGCTGCAGGGGTGGTGGGCACGCTGGAGCTTCGGAAGGTCGCTGCGGCGCTCGCCAAAATCTGGGAGATGGACACGTGTAAGGGCCGGCTAGGTGCTGCAGTACCCCCAAATTCCATTTTTTTTGAGCATCCGTTGCTCCCTTCTGTGCGCGCGTGACGTCCCACGGTTTTGATTCAATTCAATCACGTACAAACATTTTCTTTCATGTTGATACACATGGCTGCATCCATTCATATTTTCCCTGCGCGATGAGTTCTGCGCATCCATTCATCTTTTCCAACTCCCAGCTCATGTTAGTGTTGAGAATAAGACATATTTTCATGTGTAAAATATGATAATACCATATACTTAGTATATGAGAATATATCGTTTAATTAAGAAAATAACGCGGATAAAGAAAGAAATTATCTTCCCACAAATATAAGGTGTTAAAGTACTTGTCCAAAGATTCTCATACTATACAAATACCGTATTCGAGTATAGTCCATTGACAATCCCCACCTAGAAGAAACCGAAATAAGTAGTGGGGAATTGGAACCATCCATAGCCACCTCTCTACCTCCACCATCCTTGTCTACGGCCAGGGCCCGCACCTCCGTGCCAAGATCTCGCTGGCGAGCTCCTAGAAACAGACAAGGTAGACAAGGGCGGCGAGGGCTACCGCCGCGCGGGAAACCGAGGGAGGCGGATCGAGGGCTAAGAGCCCACCGAGGGTGCGGTGGAAGCAGCAGGACGGATGCCGGTGGCGCAACTGCTGTCTAGATGGAGACTACCGGTGGCGTGGTGGGCAAAGTCGCAGGGAGTCGAGGCCGAGGGGACGGGTAGAGGAGAAGAGCAGGAATGCGGTCGACGACCTCACCACCGTGCTCTCCGATGTGCAAGATGCCAACGCAGAGGTTGAGCGGCTAAGGGAGTCGCTACTCACGCGCATTCGCGCTGCTAAGGACGACGCCCACACGGCTAGGCAAGAAAACATCGAAATAAAGGGAGAATGAGGAGAAGTTGGGTCACTGAGATATGGGGTCCACCAATTTTTATTTATTTTTTAAGACTTAAATGCACTAACAAGTGGGTTCCACGCTAACTCAACCGCCACGTCAGCTAAAACAGGGAGCAATACTGTCTTGAGACCAAATGTGACTCGGTTTTATAAGTTGAAAGATGGGTTATACCTGGTATTGCGATAGGACAAATTACACACTCGGTGACAAATTGAGGACCTCGAGTGAACTTATTCCTCTCCCACATTCTAGTTAGTAGCAAATTTGTGTAAATGGGCTTTGGCCTATTGACGTTGGAAACACACCAGGAAGGCATTTGGACTAGCAGTGCAGTGCAGATACCTTAGATCGGTTGTTTGGGAACAGAAAACCGCGCAAAAAGAAAAACGGTATACCGAACAAAAGGAGAAATAAAAACGAAGAGAAAACGGAAAATCGAACAAACCACAACTTCGGCTCGGTGCGGTCTATTCTTCTGTTATCGGTATTTTTGTACCCACCCACCCCCGAAACACCCTGAAAATTTCCTAATTAAAATTCAGAAACAAAAAATTGCTTCTGCCAATTTTTTTTTGAAAATTTGCATCATGCTGGTTCTCTCGAATTTTATTCCTCCACTAGCAAAAATTCTTGTGCATTGCAAAACAGGTGAAAACAATTTTCACGATTTGTAAAAACTGTCAATTTAAATGACAAACCCAAATAAGAAAAACAATAGCAAAACAAAGTCGGAAATCACATATACCATTGAACCCGGTTATGCTCGCTTCATGCGTCATCACACGAAGAATTCTTTATGTATAGTTTTCCATAGCCTCATAAATCAACCAGGTGATTATTCCATAAGTTGAAGCATGTGTATTTTGCTATACCACATTGACCAAATATTGAAACTTTGAATATTCAATTAGTGAAAGTTTTTCAATGTAGATGAAAAACATTTGCAAAGCAACAAACTTGTTGCATACACACCTTAAACAATCATAGTTCCAAAAGAAAAATATTTACGAGGAGAGAAACTTGGAAGAGAAAAAATAGAGAAAAAAAGAGAAACGGAGGAAAAAAGATAGGAGATTGGCTGGAGAGGATCATAATGATTGGGAGAAAAGAAAAGAGAAAAAGAAAATAAAAAAGGGAAAGAAAAAAAGACGCCGATCGGTTTGTGCGGCGCCGAGTGAAGACACACATGACGGGGTGGCGGGATGGAGAGGGCCTGTTGGGTTGGGCTGGGAGGGGGAGGTATATAGTTAATTTATCCTCACGTCAAATTAGATATGGATGACTTAAATCCAACTTAAAAGCCAACTCAAACACGGATGATGCCCCAAACGAAAATATCTTCAATTTTTTATGACAACCAAATATTTATTTATTCAAATATAATATTAATTATTTTTCTAAATATATTTTTGGGTATTAAAACCCTTAAAGGGGTTTATTTTCTTTGAAAAAGGTTTAGTGTCAAAAGTCTGGTTTGGATCCCTGATAAGCCTAGCTCAATCCCAAGTGTTTGGTCTGCCCAAAAGTCTAAATCTCATCCCCTCTTTTATTTTTTCGCCCCAACTCGGCCAGGCCGATCGGGCCCAAGTGCCCAACAGCTAGCCACCAGCGTCGGGAGCAGCCGAGCCGAGCCGAGCTGACATGCCCGACGGAGGGGGGCGCTCATTGGCGATCAGTCGCGCCCCCCGCGCACCGCGCGATCAGTTTCTCACGTCTTAGTCTCTCTGTACAGTGCATGTATATACATATGTACTCCCTCCATATTTTAATGTATGACACCGTTGATTTTTTGACAAACGTTTGACCTTTCATCTTATTCAAAAAATTTATGTAATTATAATTTATTTTATTGTGACTTGATTTATCATCAAATGTTCTTTAAATATGACATAAGTATTTTTATATTTGCATAAAATTTTGAATAAGACAAGTGGTCAAACGTTGGTTATAAAGTCAACGGCGTCATACATTAAAATACGGAGGGAGTACTTTATATACATATATATAAACTTTATATACACGTATACAAAGTTTATACGTATGTATATGAAGTATATGTATATGTACATATATACATATATATATTTTTTAATATGTATATATTTTTAGTATAAAAAATATATACACATATATTAAGTTTGTATATGACGTATATAAAGTTTGTATTTTTTATACGTCATATACAAACGTTGTATATGTACGTATACAAAATATGCTAACCTATATACGTATATATACAAAGTTTGTATATGTACATATAAAAGAACACACATATAAAGTTATATACACGTATGCAAAGTTTGTATACGTATATATAAAGTTTGTATACGTAAAAAAAATAAAAATATACGGAAAGAAAAGTAGAAAAAAAAAGTGCGGCAAAAAAAAACCGTGGAAAGAAAAAAAACAGAAAAAACTAAAAAGAAAAAAGAAACCGATCAGAATTGTAGAGAAAAAAAAAGAAAAACCGCATGCCGCGCCGCCGTCCGCGCCCCCCTCTCTACGCGCGACACGCGTCCAGCCGCGCGGGGGAGGGGGCACGCGACTGTTCGCCCATTAGCAATCTCGCCCGACGGAGTCCAGCAGCCGTCATCCTTGTGCCGTGACCCAAACCAGCCCCGCCCCTTCGCTGCACTTCTCTCCCAGCCGAGCAACGCGCGCGCGTCCGTCGACCTCACCGCGGGTTAAGGGGAGGGCGAGGACGACACATTGAGGGCATGCTAACACGACCATCGTCACTCCCTCACGGACACGCACACGCGCGCCAACGATGACTGTAAAGCCTCCGTCCCTCGCCGCCTCTCACTTCTTTCTCCCCATCCACACCGTGTCGAACACCTGCCTCGCCTTCGCGCCGCAATGCCAATGTCGGGGCAAGCCAAGGGCCACGCCACTCCTACTCTCCTAGTCGTCCCCATGCCGTTGTCAAGATAACCCGTGGACGAACACCTCGCGCGTGTGGATGAACCGCAAGCCCAACCTTCACCGACCCATTCCTCGACGCCCGTGGTTTCGCCCATGTCTTCGCACGGCGTGCCACTTCCCGGCTTCCGCACGGTGAGCATCCGCCCTCCGAAATTTCCCTCTTTCCCCCACCCACACCGTGTTCATGTATGTTGCAGCCACCATGGCGTGGCACCGTATGAATGGCGTGTCACCTCGCCGGCTCGCCGCAAGCAGC